CTTTTAGCTTTGATTTTACAAATTAAGAAGGCAAGGTTCCAACAGGCTGTGACTTCACCTGCATCACGCAGCTAAGTGATGGAATCAGAGATTAGAATCTAGGCCTCCTCTGACCCTGAGACAGGACCCTTACTCATCCATCATGGAACTGGACAGGAGCTTCGAAATCATCTCTTTCCAGTCCTTCTTTTATGGGTGAGCAAATCTTGACTCAGAGAAGAAGAGTGACTTGGCCTGGGTCCCCGTTTAGTTGTCTCCAGATCCTGGACTTACACTTTTCCAACTGGGACTCACAACCCTTACCTTTTCTCTCTGACAGTGGCTGATCCCTCACACTAGTCATATTGACTTTGCTTCACAGGATTGCTTTTGTAGAAAGCAAGTGTGAAAAATTCAGAGATTAAAAGTAAAATCAGCTGGGATATAATAGATTGAAGGTAACTGGTACAAGTGGATTCTGGACTCTGAAATTGTTTTGGAACACCGCATTGTCTGTGTAAACAAGCAAGAAGCAAGCTCGTGGCTGTTAGGCCAGTGCTGTCATTCCTCCCTTGGGATCCAGTACAAGTAGGTCCAGCCCACTGTCATCTCTTAGGAATTTCCATTTTCCTATTCGGAACACTGAATTCTCCTTTTCTTCCAAAGAACAAAACCTGGATGCCCCCCTGTGGCTGCCAGAGCAGGGATGGAAGGCTCTGCTTCAGAACAACAGAGCAAATATATCCTGGGTGATTGTCATGACTGTTAAGCACTCAGATCTTAGCGATGTCATGTGGGAATGGGTCCCAGGATTCCCAGTCTAGAACTTTAGTTTTCATATTCATTGGTTGGTAGCAGGACAAGAGAGTATCAAGTGTCATGGCCAATGTCACAATGTCATATAAGTCAGAGGACCACCTGTGCAAGGGAGGAATCTCATAGTCTTGCTGTCTAAGCTCCAAAGACTAGATTGTTGAAACCTTCACTGGCCTTTGCTTTGGAACCATCCAGCCTCTCTCCCTGCTAGGCAGTAGAAGTAAAGAGAAGTCCAAACCTACAAAAGAGCTCATTCCAGGAGCATGAGCCACTGGGGCCTATGGCTCAGTGGAGTGTCAAAGCTGGCTCTTGGCGGGTCCTGAGACTCAGTTTTGTCACAGCACTTTCAGAAGTGTATACGTCAGGGACCCCACAGATGTTTGAGGTATCAAAAGGAAGCCAGTAATTTAGTGTGGCTGTTTATAGCAACCAGAACACTCCCTTTAATCTCTCCGTATGGCCTTGGCTGTAAAACCTGAATTTGTGGCTGGAAGGTTATGTGGTGAGTGGGAAGATGAAAACAAAGGGAAAGAGATGACCCTGAACCACACACGAGCTCCATGCTGGCAGGCCTGATCAATCATCCCACAATCAGCATATCTCTAGCATCCAGAATATTCCTGTCTTCCAGTTACAGCAATCTCTGCTGGACAGTGAGGGGTAATTGTGAGATTCTTCCCTCCCTCAGCTTCTTTTTCACTGTCTTTTGAGGACAGTGCAGTGTAACTGATTACATCCTGCTCACCATCACGTTTTAGCTCCTCCTTTCTGGGCTTACACCAAATCACACATCATGGACTGGAAGCATCTCAAGTATCTTTAGCTGCAGGCCTCAGTCTCTTGTGTGGCTTCTGTAGTTGCCTACTAGCACGAACTGCATATATCTATATTTAAGTAACATTATTACTGATGTATAATATACATACAGAAAAGTGCACATTACAAGGGCATGCCTGATAAATTTTCACAAAGGTATGGAACTAATATTACCAGTACTCAGAACAAGAAATAGGACATTATTGCCATCTCCACAAGTCTCTTTTGGGCCCCCTGTTAAGTCACTACTTCCTGTGCTGTCCTGCCCTCTAACATCAAAGATTTAAATTTTTCCTGTTTTAGAACTTTATACAAATCTTATAGTATCTTTGGCTCAACATTGTACTTGTAAGATATGTCTGTGTCACTGCCTTTAGGAAGTAGTACATTTATGTCATTGTCGTGTGATACTCCAGTGCATTCATATGTGATTTATGAATACATTCTTCTGCTTATGGTCAGTCAGGTTGTTTTCAGTTTGGGGCTGTTATAACAGTGATGCTCTTGCATATATCACTGGGGTGAATAAAATATGTTTTGAATTTGAATTTTTTTCTCAAGGTAATTTTATCTCAAAGGTCTAGAAGTACATTATTGTCATTGTCACAAGCAGGCTACAGGACCTTGACCAGGTGGTCTATGCTCTTTCTGCCATGCTGTGGTGCCATTTGTAGATATGGCCAATCTTCTGCCAGACTGTAGATCTATAGGGATCTCTCCTGCACAGAAGAAGTAATCCATGATTTTTAGTTGAATCAGCATTTTGAGCAGAGAATAGAATCCAAAATACTGGGTTGCAATGGAAAATGAAAATTAGGTTAGATTATTTCTGTTTTACCAGTACAGTATCCCATAATGCTAAAATAATTGTTCAAGGATGCACAGACCAAGATGATAGAAGGTCAAGTTAGAGATGAAGAAAAACAAGGGAATCAAAGGGCTAGTCAATGAAGATACTCTCTGACCTTGTGGTAGACATGTTAGTCACTAGGCATACAGGGAAGTATAAGTTAATAAATGTCAAAAGCTGTGCAGGTGCCTGTCATCTTCCAGTGGCCCCTGTTTCCATTGTCTTTTCCCATCTGTGTAAATTGGACATCAAGATATGGCAATGCCTTGGTGAGGCAGGAAAGGCAGGGTTTTGGTTTATTTCTATTATTTCAGAAAGCTCTAGCAACATACTGTAAAAGAGGGTAGAAGTCCCAATGCCAGTAGTTCTGCGTGGAGCACACAGGGGTTATGTATGCTGAGGCTGCACCTGGGTCACAACATCCCTGGACATGCTCAGTACCCCTGGGACGGTCAGCCCAGGCAGCGACATAGACATGTCTCACAAACATAACGTTGATCCAAAAGAGAACATTGTGGAATTGACATAAAGTTCCCGGACAGTTAATCAAGGAAATAGTGTTGTCACCCTCACAGGGCAGGTTTTGCATGAAAGCCTCATGTGTCAGCCATAGCTGCAACTGGTGACTGAGACAGGGCTGGTTGGGAAAGTTATCATGAGACCACAGGTAGCTCCTTGAAAAGACATGCATGTGTGTACTTGTGGGTGTGTGCATAGGTATGTGTGCACATGTGCATGTAACTCCAGACACTCCTGGGTGTGATTATACAAGCTGGCATGAGGAGGGGGCAGTGACCCTGTGGGTTTCGTTGCACACAACAAGCTGCTTGTGGCTTTGCTTATTTTTCTGAAGTTTGCAGTCCCATCCATTCTTGGGAGGCTCATTGCCTTTCTTTTCTTCTTTTCCTTCCTCCCTCCTTCCTTCCCTCCTTCTTTCCTTCCTTCCTTCCATCCATCCTTCCTTCCTTCCTTCCCTTCCTCCCTCCCTCCCCCTCTCTCCCGCTCTCCTTCCCTTTCCCCTTCCCTTTCCTTTCTCCTTCCCCTTCTCCTCCCCCTCCCCTCCTCCCCTCCCTTTTCCCCTTCTCTTCTTTTCATGGCAGCCCTGAGGACAATTGTGCTTCACCACACTAGTCTGGCCACTAGTTACATTTGGGATTTAAGCAAAGCAAGTGGGGGTCCCTGATGGTCCCTCACCTGCTGGCCTGGCCCAAGGTCTCAGAAGGGCCGGTAAGTTCCTGGAATGATAGGTTCCTGGGGTAGGGGTTGCATTTTCCAAACCACCTGAGACAATATGTTGCTTTGGGACTCAGTGCATGTAAAACAAGAGCCAGAAAATCTCATTGTAGACCAGCTGTTTACTACTTGAGCTACACCCCCGGCCCTTTTGCTTCTATTTTGTTCTTGAGATAGGGTCTTGCTATCTTGCCCAGATAGCCTCAAACCATGATATTCCCATCTCAGCCTCCTGAGTAGCTGGGATTTTTGGCATGTGCCACCACAACTAGCTCCCTGTATTGGTTTTGAAGGCAAATCCCAGGCACATTCTACACATTTAGGGTTTGAGATCCCCTCTTCCCATAGGGGACACAGAACAAGAGAATTGGAGAAGCCCCACAGCAGCCAGTGAGAGGAACGCTGTTCATGGTGATGAGTGTGATTATTGAGGGGTTCAGAGTTGCTCCTGATTCCCACTGCGCCCAGTCCTTTTGTTAGCTACAGTGATACACGTGCGACTCCCACCTCATGATTCAGGTAAGCCCAGGTGAAAAACTTCTGTGAGCTCAGAAACACATGTGGAGGTGGAGGTTTTTGTTGGTTTTTTTTTTTTTTTTTCCTTAAACAAACAAAACGGCAGCTACGTTCAAATCCTATTTTTTTTTTTTTTGGTCATACTGAGGCTTGAACTCAAGACCTTATGCTTCCTACTCAGGTACTCTATCACTTGAGCCACTCCACCATCCCACCCTCAAATCCTAATTTTTACGTTATATTTTGCAAAGCCTGGTATTAAAACTATGACAGCATCTTTACTTCAAACTAGAAGCAAAGAGATGAACCAAGTTTGATATTTATTTTTATTCTTCTATTTATTTTTGCTATGAAACAATTTCAGGAAATCATAACTGGTTTTAATATACTCCAGTGTAAGTAGGCCCTTCCATGGGGAAAAAAATAGATATTTCCCTTCTCTGAAGTTATATCATAGGGTGCTCAGTTAAGAATGTTCAGAGTAGCTTTTACCAACTTGCCCAAAGAGATGAGCTCATGGGAAAAGTGAGGGCCTAAAAGTGTTCTGGCTTGTTCTAGGACCATTTGTTGCCTTTGCCTAGATCCTGGAAGCAACTTAAACCAATCCACTGAAGGTTCAGAGCCATCAGTATCCCCGGCACCAACAGCAAGGGCCTGGACATCAGGAGACTAGAGAGTAGTCTTTCTGGACCTTTAAGAGTTGTGTGGTCTTGGGTAGGTCTCTGCACTTATCAGCACTTCCTCTGTAATAACAAACAAAAGCATTCACCTGGTTTCTTTCATTACTCAGACATCTACTGAGCACCTGGGAAGCCTGCTGCTTTGCTTGTTCCTGAGGATAAAACACTGACAAACCAGTCCCTGACCAAGGGACTGACTCAGAGTCCTGATAAGAAAGAGAGACAAGAAAACTAGCAATTATAGTGCACTAGGGTAAGTGAAATGAGGTCTAGCATGCACTCGTGGCCTAACGTACCACTAATGAGTCTGGAAATGTTGTTCAAGAAGGATTTGTCAGGGCCAGGCGTGGTGGTTCACACCTATAATTCCAGCTAATGGGGAGGATTGTGGTTCAAAGCCAGCCCAGGCAAAAAATTAGCAACAATTATCTCAACAAATAAGTTGGGTATGGTGTCACATACCTGTAATCCCAGCTATACAGGAGGTGTAGGTAGGAGGATCGTGGTCCCAGGCCAGCCCTGGAAAGCCAAAATAATGAAACCCACCAAGCACTTTGAGAGAGGGAGGAAAAGAGAGAGGTGGAATGGGAATATAGTGGGGGGTAAACTAGTTCAAGGTGCTTTGTGTACACGTATAGAATTATCACAATGAAACCTCCTTGTGTTGTTATGTATGATAATTCAAAAATGAAAACAATTTAAAAACCAAAATTGAAAGAAAGAAACTAAAGTATGAAAGGGCTAGGGGGCATGGCTGAAGTGGTGAGCACCTGCCTAGCAAGCATGAGGCTCTGAGTTCAAACTCTAGTACAGAAAAAAGGCGGGGTGGTAGGGGAAGGACTTCTTGTAGCAGGTGGTTCTTCAGCTGAACTGAAGGGGCTAGTGGGATGCTGGAAGCAGGGAATTGGCTCTCAAAACCCCTGCCAGGTCCAAAGTTTGAGTCTGGAGTTGGGGTGCCAGGGTCCATCACAGGTATACAGGGGTCCATCCGTCTTGTCCTGGTCTGAGTCAGTGTCCTTCCCCATGGGACCTATGGGGGACCTTGAAGAAGGCTCAGTTGTCCTCTCAAAACTCCTGCCCACCATGTAGTCTGGCCTCCCCTGCTTCTTCCCCCACCAGGGGCAGGAATTGTTTATTGTCAATTATTGCTGGAGAGTACCTAGCAGTCACAGTTTATTGCAAGAAATTATTTCATGGTGATCTCATATTAAATTTAAAATTCTCAGAATTTGAGACAGTCTTTTCACAGATAGAATTTGTAGAAAGGGAGATGTAGTCTTCAAAGGCATAAATCTAAAACCACTGAAGAGTATTTTGTTTTGGGCGTCTTAAAAACGTATGGTGAGATTCTATGCAGCCATGAAGAACAATGAAATGTTATCATTGCTGGTAAAGGATGGAATTGGAGAACATCATTCTAAGTGAGGTTAGCCTGGCCAAAGACCAAAAATCATATGTTTCTCTATATGTGGACATTAGATCAAGGACAAACACAACAGGGGATCTGGCTTTGAGCACATGATAAACGGAGAGCACAAGGGAGGTAATGAGGATATGTAAGACACCTAAAAAATTAGCTAGCATTTGTTTGCCCTTAACGCAGAGACTAAAGCAGATACCTTAAAAGCACTGAGGCCAATAGGAGAAGGGGACCAGGACTAGAGAAAGGTGAGATCAAAAAGAATTAACCTAGAAGGTAACACACATGCAACAGGAAACAACTGTGAGTCTATGCCCTGTATAGGCTATCCTTATCTCAACCAGCAAAAACCCTTGTTCCTTCCTATTATTGCTTATACTGTCTCTACAACAAAATTAGAAATAATGGCAAAATAGTTTCTGCTGGGTATTGAGGGGGTGGGGGAGAGGGGAGGGGGCGCGTGGTGTAAGGAGGGGGTGGGGGCAGGGGGGAGAAATGACCCAAGCCTTGTATGCACATATGAATAATAAAATAAAAAAAATACAAAGCGTATGATGATACACATGTACTAATAGTGTTCCATGACCGCTACTTTCTCTCTGAAGTTATTAATTTGGTGTTTTCTAGTCCTCTCTTAGCACCATCTGGTAACGAATGCACAAATGGCAATTTCCATAGATGTTCTTTTTTAAAGACTTCAACTTAAATGGAAATAAGTATTGAAAGGACAATGATGTTACCAAGAGTCACTTACATGAGTTTGAGATGTGAATGTATTGTCAGGTGGTGGATTCAAAGGCTGGCTGGAAGTGGCACTAATTAGTACCTATCAGAAGAGGGAGCAGCCATGTGACATAGATAACCAATTCGCTTTTCTGCTCAACCTTCAGAATTAACTGGTTCTTGATGCTTTTTTTTTTTAGCTAGAGCAGCAATTTTTGATTTTTTGCACGAAAATGAAAAACTAAAACAATTTATATCCTATTTCAAATTTATATGAATTCAATTCACTAAAATGTTTCCTGTTACACCATGGTTACCAACCTGTAAAGTGGACTTGGGAAGAGAAAGGCAGAACATGGAGTTGTTAGCACTCCCAGGGCCCTGGGGAGCAGTTCAGATGAAGAAGTGGGGACCCCAGAAGGCCAGAGGCAAGAGTCCATCACAGCAGGTGGGACCTTTCCTGTTTCTGTGGTTTGGAGTCAGGCAAATAACAGCTCAGTTTTTGAAGTAAAGGTATTCCTGCACGTGCCCTACTATGATACTAAGGATTCAGAAATTCTGGGAGCATCCTTGAAGTAAGGGATGTTTGTGGTTTCACTGAAGTTTAGCTTTCAAGCAGAATGCTAGCTAGTTTTTTAGGTGTCTTACCTACTCTACCTCCTTGTGTGCTTCTCCTTTTATCCTGTGCTCAAGTCCAATCCCCTTGTTGTGTTTGCCCTTGATCTAATGTCCACATATGAGGGAGAACATAACCGTTTTGGTCTTTTGGGCCAGGCTAACACTCCTCAAGATGATGTTCTCTCAATCCATCCATTTAGATCTTCTTCATGGCTGCATAAATTCCATGGTGTATGATAAACCAGACATTTTTTAATCATTCGTCAGTGCTGGGCATTTGGCTGTTTCCATAACTTGGCTATTGTGAATAGTGGCCGCAATTAAACATGGCTGTGCAGCGTGCTTGGAGTACAGTCTTTTTGGGTCTATCACAATCTCGCTTTCTGCAACTCAGATACCCTGGTTTCTTGATAGCTTTTTTTTTTTTAGCGAGAGCAGAATTTGGATTTTTGCACAGAAAATGAAACTAAAATTTATATCGATTTCAAATTTATATAGATATTCAAATCACATAAAAATGTTCCTGTACACCATGTTTAACCAACCTGTAAGTGACTTGGAAGAGAAGGCAGAACCATGGGTGTTAGCACTCAAGGGCCCTTGGGAGCAGTCAGGAAGAAGTGGGGACCCCAGAAGGCAGAGGCAGATGAGCCACACAGCAGGTGGGACCTTTCCTGGTTCTGTGGTTTGGAGTCAGGCATAACAGCTCAGTTTGAAGTAAAGGTATTCCTGCACAGTGCCTACTATATACTAAGGATTCAGAAAATTCTGGGAGCATCCTTGAGTAAGGGATGTTTGTGGTTTCACTGAAGTTTAGCTTTCCAGCAGATGGCTTCCATCTTAGTTCATTTGGGCTGCTATAATGAAATACCATAGCAGGGTAGCTTAGGAACAGCAGGAATTTATTTCTCACCATTCTGTAAAGTTCAAGGTCAAAGAGCCAGCAGATTTGGTGTTTTTCTAGTTCACATATGGCATTTTCTTGCTGTGACCTCACATTTCAGCAGAGGCAAGGCAGCTCTTCGGAGACTCTTTTCCTCTCTTATAAAGTTGCTAATTCCTTCATGGCCTAATCTCTTCCCAAAGGCTCCATTTCATAATACCATCACATTGGTCACTAGGTTTCAACATATAGATTTGGGGTGGGGTCATAAACAGCAAAAAAAAAAAAAAATCATAGAAGCTTCTCAGGTGTGAGGAGAGGCTACTTGGTTTCCTAGAAAGGTGGAACCGGGATCGAGGAGGGAAGGAAGGCCCACTGTGAATCTCTGGTTGACCAGACCCTCCAGCCGCACACACCCCTCTGAGGCCATAAAATAAGTGGTGGACATTTGAGACGGTTGCATTGTCCAAACTAACTTAAGAATTGCTGAGTAAGTAGTGAATTGTGACTTCCACAGTTACAAAGATGCACAGACACCCAACATTAGCATGAGGCTGGTGGTTGACTTGCCTTCCTCACTTCCACTTAGATGACCTTTCACAAGTTGCACCTGTAACAATCCCTACTCAGAGGATTACTGTGAAAACGCAATGTGTTCTCTGTGGCAGGTTCCTGGACTATTTCATTCAATATGTATCTCTTGCCTTTGAAAAGTACAACTATTATGTCAAAAGCCAAACTCAGATAAAAATGATTTTCACAACTAAAAATGAGAAATTCTACCATCAGATAAAGTTTAAATGTGATATATACTCTCAAATTAAATGCAAATGGATTCACCAGCGTGTCTGTAGTTTCACACCACTTTCTTTTTTTTTTTTCCTTTTCTTTTCTTGCTCCTCCTTCTCCTCCTCCTCCTTTCTTTTATTCATTTATTCATATGTGGGTACATCGTTTGGGCCATTTCTCTCCCCTGCTCCCTGTCCCATCCCTCTCCCCCCAGCCCCCTTGCTTCCAGGTGGAACCTGTTTGCCCTCTTCTCCAGTTTTGTTGAAAAGAAGACATAGCAATAATAAGATAGACATAGCATTTTTGCTATGATATATATAGATAAGGATAGCTATACAGAGAGATTCCTAGCATTGCTTCCATGCACATGTATATTACAACCTGAATTGATTGATTTCTACCAGACCTCTTTACTACTTCCCAGTCACCTTCCCATAGTGACCTCTGTTGTTTTAAGGTTACTGTATTAGCTCCTCTACAGTGGGCACATCCAACACTTTCAAGTTTTGGGTTTCCTACCTTTCCCTATTCCTCCTCTATGTGTTCTCCCCTTAGCGTGTGACCCAAGTCCAGTAGAATTACTGAATTTGTTTTATGTTTAAAGTCCACATATGAGGGAGAACATACGATTTTTGGCCTTCTGAGCCTGGCTAACTTTGCTTAAGATGATGCTCTCCAGTTCCATCCATTTACTTGCGAATGACAAGATTTCATTCTTCTTCATGGCTAAGTAAAATTCCATTGTGTATAGATACCACATTTTCTTAATCCATTTGTCAGTAGTGAGGCATCTTGGCTGTTTCCATAACTTAAATAGCGCTGCAATAAACATGGGTGTGCAGGTGCCTCTGGAGTAACCTGAGTTGCATTTCTTTGGGTATATCCCCAAGAGTGATATTGCTGGATCATATAACAGATCTATGTTTAGTTTTTTAAGAAGCCTCGGTATTGTTTTCCAGAGTGGTTGTAGTA